GCACTATACAAGTCTAATTTGTTGTTATCACGTCTTCAAGACGTTTAGAGAACAAGAAAGGTCTCTGAGGCACACCACTAAATACTCTGCCAGTCAGAACAGCTCTTTGTTCCCATTCTGCCCCACAACCATTCCTCGCTCCACTCTATATTTCCGTCTCTTCCATGTGCCATGTTGGATAACAGATAACCAACTGGTGAGAGGGGGCAGGGAGAGGTAATCAGAGTCTCCTTAGACTTGAACTGGTTCCAAGTTGATCTGCTTGGCAACAGAATCTTACAATTTGAGTCAGTTGTCTGTGGCAGTCGTTTTAGTCTGGCTCATCGGCCAGACCTGGGAACAGGGTCACTCTCATTCAGATTTATTAACCCTGCAAGCAAAAGCCCTAATGGTAGGGTGGCCCTAGCTGGACAGGCAGCAGGAAGATTGTCAGACAGTGCTTTCTGTGACAAACTATGTGGTTTTACCTGGTTAGTCTCAAGCAGAACTTCAGCCCCCGCTGAGGTTCCTAATACTTTGCTCTTGCCAAGCTATTCCTGGTATTCTACAGAATTAAGTAAGCAGGGTGCATCCCTTCAGGATGGGGGAAAGAGTGCATTCCATTCGAGACATTGGAATGTTCATGTGTAACAACAACAACAAAATTACATTTGGAAAGTGCCTTTCAAGTCAGGAGGATGTCCCAAGGCACGTAAGTGCTATGCATGCAACAACAACAACAGCAAGATTGCATTTATAGAGCGCCTTTCATGTCGGGAGGACGTCCCAAGGCGCTGGACAGTTGGATCGGGACCCGAGCAGGGGGGAAATGGTCAGGGTGAGGGGAGGGAAGGGAGGGAGCGAGGAGGGGGTAGAGAGTCGAGAGGGGAGGTGAAGGCACGGTTGAAGAGAACTCGTGTCTGGTTTGGATGCTCTTTAAGCATTGTAATGTATTTGTGCATGTGTCAGACATCTAGCTGACCAAAGAAGGGTCTTAATTTTGGCAACAAGGCACCTTATTAAAAGCCTTCCTAACATCCAAATAAGCATCTATGTCATTTCTCTTATCCACATTGGTGTCAGTCTGGCGCAGATGGTTGCAAACTTGCATCTCAGTCGGAAGGTTCTGTGTTCAAATCCCACGTCAGAACTGATACAGTCTAAGCTGATCCTCCAAAACAGTGCTGGAGATTTGCTGCATCGTGCCAGAGGTGCCATCCTTTAGCAGAAATGTTAAACCAAGTACCCATCTGTTTCTATTCAGGTGGATGTTAAAGATCCCATGGCACTAGTCGGAAATAGAAGGGAGTTTCTCCTGTTGTTCTGGCCAGCATTCCCCCAGATAAAAAAAGGCTATTTGTGGGACATTGCTGTGTGCAAATTAACTTCTGCATTCACCTACATAATGCAGAAATACATAAAATACATAATCACAAAACTTCATATCATTTGAGATACTTTGAGATGTGAAAGATGCTCTATGAAATGCAAGAATTATTTTACTTTATTTACTCTTGGTTACCTTTTCAAAGAATTCAATGAATACCCACTTATGGTATAGGCAAGCTCTTGTTACAGAAAGCTCTCCTTCCCAACCTTTCCTCTATCAAGGGCACAGGAGCAATAGATTAAATCGTCTATCATCTGAATCAGTTTTTTAAAAACACATCCAGTGGAAACTCACCTAAATGTCACCCCATCAATGTACTCAACTCACTGAAGGGGTCGGTGTTTTCCAGTCTCTTTCACTTCAACATTATATAATATAAGCTCATTAGTGAGTTCAGCCACTAATGTGGTCAGAATTCCCAGTCCTTTTTGCTGACCTGATTAGTGAGTTTCCATTGTAAACTAGCTTTTCAAAGCATCAGAAACAGCTCTTTGGCAGTGACTGAATCCTGTTATCTTGGCCAGATGGTTTCAGTATGACGCAGTTAAGTGCCCTAAATTCAGCTGAATGCAGTGTGAAACAGTCTCATCATATATATGGTATTTACTGCTGGGTTATCCATTTGTTCAGTGGGAAAACTTCACTGATCCTGGTGATTGCAGCTCCCATACATTAATATGCAGCTGGAATAATGAGAAGTGACTTGTGCCCAGAGCCCAGAATGTACTGCCTTGCACTAATCTCCTTCATTTGAGCTCTATTTATAAGGGTAAATGATGCATATGATGATTGGAGAGGTTTTTCTGGTGGCCATTTCTATTCTGCAGTAGCAGGACAGGAAAACTGGAGAGGTTTATGTTTTTTTACTCGACCACGAAGTAGGAGTGGAAGAAAACAGACTCACAGAGCTGCAGAAAGGCCCTAGAGGCTGAGGCAGAAACTGTATAGTCTGTGACTGCTGTAGTTTTATTAAAGGTAGACATTTTGAGAGTTTGTTCCAATAAATGACAAATACAATGAAAATAAATATTCCTTACATTTAATATTGCTCCTCTAAAGTAAAAATGCTTCAAAGTGCTTCATCGGGAATCACTGTCAAGTGCAGTGACTGATTTTTGTAGGAAATGTGGCACCCCAATTACACACGGCAAGGGCCAACGAACAGCCATGACCAATTCATCTGGATTGTTGGTTAACCTGAGAGCAACCGCTCCTTCTGAAAACTGCTATGTGATCTTTATGTTGGACTGAAAAGGCGGACTGGACCTTGGTTTAACGCCTCATCCAAAGGACAGTGCCTCTAACACTGCAGCGCTGTAGCGTTAGCCTAGATTATGAACTAGAGTCCCTATCGCATTATGACTGGGGTTTCAGAATGCTGCCAACTAAGTCAAGCTGTTGGGACAGTGTTAATATTCCATATGATTGAACACTGGCACAGAAAATCGTGCGACACTTTCACATGGCTTTGTGGTTCAGAATGCTCCAGTCCAGTCAGCGCCCGTCTACAGGAAGAAAATCCAGGGAAACGAAATCTGTTTACTCAGGAGGGTAGTGACACAGGAAGGAACTTGTGTGATAAAGGAACCAGTTGCTATGGAGCTGATAGCAACAAGTGTGCACGCAGCTAGCTCTCTGTAGGAGAGTGGGTCTTTGGGTGGGGGCTCTAGGCAGCAGTCGTGGATTTCATGTGGGAGATGGTGGTTGAGGGGGAGGTGGGAGAAATCGGGGCAAAGGAGTGTAGAGAGGGGGGTAGTCGGAGCCATGGCGGAAGGAGTGGGTAGTGTAGATAATCGGGGGTGGGTGGGACACAGAGGAGGAGAAAGATGCAGCCAAGCGGATGTTTTTAATCTTTGAGATGAAGTTAAAACAAAATCAAAAATTAGTTTTAAACTTTTAAAACCTTTTTGAAAGCTTTAGCTGGACTTGCCCTGCCATTTTTATTTTGCATTCTCTGCTCCCTGTTCTCTCCAACATTTTTTTTTGTTATTTTTGTTGTTTTTTCTCCAAATCGGCTGTATGTTAATCTTCCACATTATTTTCACATCCAGCTCCATTTCATTGTGATATCTGCAGTCTTCAAAGAAATGCAAATAGCAAATGTGTACGCTGACGAGGTGCAGATCTCAGCCCACACAGTTCCCTTCTGCAGCAGTTGTACCTCACAACTTTGTTTTAAAATTATCGTTGCGCCAAACACAGATCCTTTAAGACTTGCTATTAAATGGAGCAGTTATTGAAAATAGCAACATGCCTGTATATATTTTGGCTTTTGAGATGTTGCCATTGCTCGGATCCATATACCTTTGGATTCTCTTTTCTGTTAGGACCAGATAAAGTTTATGAGCAAATCTATCTGTATATCACACTTCGCCGACACAAACCAGAGCGCATCCTTCCTCCCTGGCCTGAATTGTGGTTTATGTTCATGTGGTATATCCTGTTCTTAAGAAAAATAACCCATAACTTCAGCAGTAGGTTAGTTTATTGTGCAACCTGCAGGTGCTTCAATTCAGTGAATGCTGAGTGAGCAAGTGGTGCAAGTGACACAAGATGGATTGTTATTTAAAGGACCACATCACAGGTCTGCACTTGATTGACACAATGACTGAGCGCTCTGGCTCTGGATGGATAAGTTGATGGGCTGAAGGGAGTACACTGAAGAGTGTCATTCCTGCTCAATAGAGAACTCAGTTCTTTTTGACTTGATGTCAACCTGTAAGAATGTATTAAAGCTATATTCTTTCATTTTAATTATGGAGCTTCTCCCTCTGTGGACACTTCTGGGTGTTTATGGGTCAACATGGCTATAATTGTATTAAAATTGCAAAGGAATGTAATTCTTATTTGAATTCACTTTACAGTCAACTCACTTTACAGTATATTCCGTGAAGCGCTTTGAGATGTCTCGAAGATGAAGGTGGCTATATCAAATGCAAGGATTATTATTATATCGAATCAAATGTATTGAGAAGAGTGTTAACTACTCAGATGATGTAACTAAATCATTGATTTGTGGCTGAGTTAGTTGCATTCTCGTTTCTTTGGTCAGAAGACTGTGGATTCAAGTCCATGAGCTGACAGCCAGGCTGACACTGATTCAGTGTTGAGGAAATGCATCACTGTCAGAGGTGCTGTGGTTCTCACATTCTCTGTATTCAACAGTACGGTCAAGAACTTAGCATTTCCACTAATTGACGTTAGCACAGGGCAGATAATTGGATGACACAAAACAGACATTGCAACTTGAAAGGTTATTCCACCAGGAGTTGTACTGTCCTTGCAGTAATAATAATCCTTGCATTTGATATAGCGCCTTATCACGTCTTTGAGTGTAAAGTGTAGTGACTGTGTTTTGTGGGTGAAACGCGGTAGACAGTTGTGCACAGCAAAATGCTGCTCTTCACTCACTTTTTCTCTCTGGAATCCCAGCCCTGTGTCACTTGGGTTTCGGAGGCCCTTATATATAAACAACGTGGATGATCTGCATTCTCTCTAATTATTTGAGAAGCACTATAAAAGCTCTATAAAAAAATTTAAAAAAAATAATTTTCTTTGTTTGGATTTGTTCCATTGAAGATCTCAGAGCATCTTATTGGGCAGATATTAATGTGTGTTTTTTCTCTTTCAGCATTTCCATGAAGGACGAAGGGAGCAGCAGCTAATAGACACCTGTTGGAAACAACTTGATGCAGTATGTCTGATCACATGTATTCTTACATTTTACTGATTCTCTGATTGTTAAGCACTGTTCTGCATCCGGATTCTTCTTGACTCAAACTCAGAGTGGGTTAATCACTTCATCCGTGCTGTAAAGATTGCCAGTTCCTATATAAAACTAACACCCACAACATCCTCATTCGAGTAGTGAAATTAATGTCCAAAGTGACTAACATTCCACAGGAACTGAGAATCTTCCATTGCATCATTTGCCCATTATATCTCAGTCATTAAAGTTCCAACAACCTACTAGAGATTGACTATCTGGCAGAGAGTGCAGAATCATTTCACCCACTTAGGGATAGGAGGCATTTACAGAAATTCACTGTTCACTTTTAACCATTATCATCAAGAAAGTGATGTCTTTGTGGCCTTTACAACCTGGAAGTTGCCCACTTTTTGTAGTTCAAACAATAAGTCTAAAAAAGGTTTAAAAATGGACATTTGTTTTCCTTGATTTTAAGCAAACTGGAAAGCCCAATGAATTACTGATTTAAAATCCTAAACCAGCAAGTCTTTCTATAAGATACTGTGGCTGAAGCTTGCTGAATATCATTACATTGGATAAGAAGAATAAATGTTAGATCTGTACAAAATATCTGTATGTTACAGCCACTTCTTGTATTAATTGTGTTTTTTTTATTCCAGAGCAAAAGGCGATTTGAGAGAGATTGTAAGGAGGCCGAGCGAGCTCAAATGCATTTTGAGAAAATGGATGCTGATATCAATGTAACGAAGGCTGACGTGGAAAAGGTACTTAAGAGAATGACATTTCATTAATTTAAACCCATTTAAAGAATTAAAGGATATGTCCTTTAATTCTTCAACTAGTTTCTCCTTCATACATAAAATTGTATGTTCATGCAAATGTTAAGAATGGCTGTTTTTTGTTTACAGTAATAGGATAGTGTTTCAAAGAATAAAGCAACCTTTACACTGACTGTGGTAAGCGAATAATGAGGGATTAACCTGATCTGTTTAGACGAAACATTAGCAGATTAGGTTTTGTGTAGGTGGAATTGTCAGGACGAACATTGAAAATTTAGAATTAAATATCAGTGAACTTGATTGCATCTCACATAATAGAGGATGTTTCTTTGAACCTAGGAATGGAAATGTTTATGGTCCTGTATAAACTCCAGTGAATGGACTTTAGTTGAATGGAGTTCAGCTTGCTAGAAATGGTGGTTATTCTCCCAGGAATTTTTAAGAGACTAACTGCAGAGCAGCAAATGCAGAAAGAGTCCAGGATTAGAGGGTTTAGCATACCACCTGCCACAGCTCACAACACAAACAAGTGAGCCCAGAGAGAAAAAAACTACCCTGATTCCTAATTGAAAGCATTCTCAACTAATCACCAAATAGACGATTTGGAGGAATTTTGCAGAGTGTTAGGATGTGAAATGCCCTACTGGATGTGGTGATTGAGGCAGGATCTGTATTGGCTTTCAGAATATGAAAGGAATAAGCTTCGGGAGAGGGGTGGGCCAAGGGTGCAGGTCACTGGGACTGAATGGATTGTTCTTTCAAGCAGCAGCACAGATACGGTGTATTCTCTACACCCTGCTCTTTTCCATATCCTATAACCCTCCCTGTGTGTGCTTGTCCATTTTTTAAATACCCAATAGAATTTGTTACTGACCTGCCTCCACTCAGCACGCACCGGCCTGCTTCAAATCCCCTTTCCTACCTGCCACCATTTAGATTTGGTTTAAGGTTTGACGGTCGAGCCTTCAGCCTTTCTACCCTCTCGGCTTCCTCAAGGTCTGCATCAAGAACTTCCTCATTGACCGTACCTTTGGTCATCTTCCCATCCCCGCCTTCCTTGGCCCTCACCTCTCCCGAATCGAACCCCAGTTCAGGTGCAAATTTTAACTGTCCAGCGCCTTGGCACGTCTTCCTGATGTTAAAAGCACTATATAACATTACTCCCTATCGCTGAATGGATTGATTTCAAGATCCTAGCACTCGTTTTCAAATCCGTTCATGTCCTAGCACCTCCCTACCTCTCTGACCTACTTACTCCCCAATCCCAATACCCGCTGGGTCCTCTCGACTGGCTCCGGACTCCTGTATGTCCCTCGTGCCCTCTGTTACACCACCGGTGGCTGCACTTTCAACCACTTCAACCAGAAACCCTACATTCTTCCTCTATCCCTCCACCTTGCCCCTTCCATTCCCATCTTCAGATCGCACCCGAAAATCTTCCTCTTTGATCGTGCTTAAGGTCACCATTCCCCTCTCCCCAGCTCAGCATCGTGCTCTGCCACTGTCAGCACTCTGGGACGCTACCCTGCGTGAGGGGTGCTACATAAATGCAAGTTGTTGTTGTATAAATGCAATTTGTTGTTTTCACAGACGCTTCTCACTTAGCTCTTTACCCTAACCACGCCCTGATAACCTTCTCTGTTCTTCCAAACCTCTCCGAGTCGCAATCTTTATACAAAACTAAAAATAAACACTACAGTACAACCGGCAAAGTGCTGAATGCAAGCTGATCTTAGGAAAGTGTCTGAGCAGCTGGTCTGTAGGAAGCTGTGATACATGATGATTCTGTTGTTAGGTTTCTTGCATCCAATCAGCAACTGTTCGCCAGTTTACTGACAGAAAGGAAAATCTCTGCTGAAGTTTGAAGTTTTCTTTAGTCCCTGACCTCAGAAATGTAGCTCAAAGCTGGCTCAGCTCTTTAACTTAACTAAAGGAAAGGAAGGTCACTCTTAATCAAACTTATCGAATTCTTTGAGGATGTAACAGGTAAAGTAAACGAGGGAAATGCAGTGAATGTGATAAAGTGCCCCATGAGAGGTTCGTAACTAAAGTAGGGGTGGAATTATGGGTGAGGTAACAGAATGGAATAAAGAATGGTTAGGAAACTGAAAGCAAAGGGTAGGAGATAAGCATACAGCTAGGACTGGTTGGGTCGAATGGCCTGTTTCCGTGCTGTACATTCTGTATAAATCTGTAAACGAACCTTGTATTTCTTTAAAGTGAAGTGAATTTTCCAAGTGTAGGTTGGTCAGCAAGAAAACATATCAGCAAATTCCAGACTGATTATATATCTTGAATTTTCGATTAACTGTTCACAATTGAGACGTATCTGTGACATCAAACTGGCTGTTCACCTTGTAACATTTTAACCTTGCTCATCACGTAATCCAGGCTGGACTGACTGGCTGCCCACAGGAATGTCATTTTGTTGGTTGAAGGATTTTATGGTCTTTTGCACTGAAAAATGTGTAAAGAGAATAAGACTAAATGTGTGGCATATCCTAACCACAGACAGGATTCATGTGGAAAAAACGCAGAGAAGTTTTGGTTAATCCAAGTCACGTGGCTAGTTTTCCCTCGGGAAGTTTACATTTGCATATACCACAGTGATGTATGAAAAGCATTGGTGAGATCTTTGTCCTCTGCTGGGGGCATTGCTCAACATAAAGAAATCAAGAGAAATCCCATGAAGTCCAGAGCTGAAACCAGTGTGAAGCCATTAATCAGTTGTGTTTATACTTCATAGGGAAGTAGGGAATTCTGTGTAGGGAATTCTGATATTCTTAGTGGTTTTGTAGTCGAGTATTGAGGTCCTTGAAATGACAGTGATCAGTGTAGCTGAGCATTAATTTAATGATTTACAGAACAATAGAGTCATTACAGCACAGAAGGAAGCCATTTGGCCCTTTGTGCACGTGCCGGCTCTTTGAAAGAGCTGTCCACTAGTCCCACAACCCATAGTCCTGCAAATTCCCTGCAGCCTTCTTCCCGTCTCATGATACGAAGCCCTGAGAGTGGTCCTCAGTGGCTCACTCAGTGAGCAATAGCAACATTGGCTTTAAGATGTTAGTCCTTTGATTTTCAGATGGTTTTTATACTTTTCATATAATCAGCCTTTTCACTGCATGCAATTTAGCATCAGCTTTTGCGAAAAAAGAAATTGGATCTGGATCAAGTCGGATATCCCACCCATGCTGTGCATTCACATATTGAAGGAATTAAGAAGGCTATAATCTGGCATTTGTGGGAGTGTGTTGGCCCATGTTCCTGAGGGTTGAGGTGACTTGTTAACCACAGGAACAAACCTTGAACAGTCTGTGTGTGTGTGTGATCAGAACCTCTGGAATTTTGTTTGAAAGTTTACAACATTCTCATCCGAGTTAAATTTGAACGATGTGAGTGAAAGGCTGTGAGAGCATGGCATGATCATCTAACTGCAGAATAATCAAACCATTTTGGTCTCTAATGCTGCCTGTTTGAGGGCAGGTGCATAAGGGAGATGTGATCTGTTCTTAATTATTCTGTTTGAATACAAAAAAACACTCATTGTGAGCCCAGGTCACATTTTTGGATGAAATTTATGAAATTTGTAGACTTGAAGGAAGCATGACATAGAATTCAGAACTCCAATTTTTTGGGCTGCGTTTTTGGGCTCGATTTCAACATCCTTACCCTTGTATTCAAGTCCCTGCACTCCTCTGCACCCCCCTACCTCTCTGGCCTTCTCTCTCCTCAAAACAGTACCTGTTGCCTTTGGTCCACCGGGTCTGGCCTCCTCCTCATCCCCGAGTCCTCCGCTCCACCCTCGGCGGCCATGCCTTCAGCCACTATGCCCCGAGGCTCTGGAACTGCCTTCCTTACTCTCTTTGTCTCATTCCCTCCTTTCCCATTTTCAATTCTCTACTGAAGACCTTTCTTTTCGACCGCGCCTTTGGTCACCTTCCTCCCCTATCCGTTCCTGTAATGCGCTCTGAGAAGCCGTCCGGCATGGAGGGCGCTATATACATCCAAGTTGTTGTTGCAGTTAAGGAGAAAAATCAGTAACATTTCCAGAAATACTTGGCTTTATACCTCTTCCTGATTATTTTTTGCACAAGAAATCTGATTATGCTAACTCTCTGCTTGTCGACCTTCCCAACTCTTCCCTCCACGAGCTGCAGATTATTCAGAACTCTGAAGCTCGTATGCTCTCCCGCTCCGTGAACCTATCATCCTCATTTTCACCTGGCTCCCCATCTCCAGAAGATCGAGTTCAAAATCCTCATCCTCACCTTGAAAGCGTGCCACAGCCTTCCTCCTCCCGAACTCTGTGACCTGCTATATAAATGCAAGTTGTTGTTGTCTTTGGAACTCCACCCCACAGTCCCTTCGCCTCAGCCCCCTCTCCCTTGCCTTCTTCAAGACCCATCTCAAATCCCTCCTCTTCGATCGTGCCTTTGGTCACTGTATTACCCCCACCCCTCCTGATCCCAACCCCCAGCTCGGGTGCAAATCCTTCGCTGTCCAGCACCTTGGGATGGCCTCCCAACGTGAAAGGCTCTGTACAAATATAACTTGTTGTTGCCCAATCATTATGCTGGAATGTGTTAAGTTTGAAATTTGGAGCGAGAGGGTCAAAGCTAACGAGAGGCAGAGTCGGATTGAGTTTTATTTTTACTTCATGCTTCTCTAGCTGAAAACAGCACTTGTTTTTAATGGGTGAGTGACTATCTGAACTTTACAGTGCAACAAACTGAAGGTTGCCTAAGCGAGTATTTGTTTCCAGTATCCCTCAGTAATAGCTTTGGAATTGCAATCTTCAGAACTCCTTTCTCTCATCTATTAATGAATTCCTAACTGCTGGTTTTGTCCCTCCCTCATTAGTAAACCGCTTGACAAGGAACACAAGTGCCATGCTGCTGTGATGAGAATTCAGTACGCAATAGCAGTTTGTAAACCCTGTCTCTTTGGACTGTGCTTTAGCATCTCCAGTTAAAATCAGTCAC